CAACCAACTCAGTAAGTAATAATAATAAATAAAGAACTGAAAGTAGTGACGAGCTTCTCAGGTAAGTCCAAATACAATACTTTCCAATATAAAAGAGTAGGCATGCACTTAGTTCAACATTTAATATTTCACTGAAATTTCATATCAAGGTTGACCGAAACAGAAAATAATGTTTTTTTTCCTGAAATTTCCAAAATAGTAATATATGACAGTTGAAATGCAGCAATTATGAAGTCAATGCATCCTCTTAGAATAACAGTCACTCAGTCCTCCCAATCACTCCAACCTCACAGTCACTCTTTCCTCACAATCACTCTTTCCTTACAGTCACTCATTCCTCACAGTCACTCATTACTCGCCACTCGCACTCAGTAGGTACCTGTGCTCACTAGGGGTGTGTACAGACTCCGGAGGGGCTCCTTCATCCCAAGCGCTATATCAAGCCAATCATGGCATAAATCAACAAAACATGCTGTGACGTGCAACCCGATCCCATAAATATCCTCATAATTAGGCACTCGGCCTCACTCAGTCATCAATCTCTTTAGTCTCTCGTGCTCTCAGAAATCATGATAAGCAGCCCAACAACAATGATATGATGCATCAATAAATAGCAACAGAGACTGAGATATGATATGAAATGAATGAACATGACTGAGTGTGAAATTGCAATTTGAGCATATAATTCAACCACAAAAATGACCCCAGTGGGTACCAACAATAACAACATATGCCTAAGCATGATTTTTAATACGAGTCTCAGCTCAATTTTTTCTAACACGTAGAGGATGTACGGATATCAACAGATTTTTCAACTATACAGTCCCATGGAATTTGACCAAGTCACAATTCCTACGGTGCACGCCCACACGCCCGTCACCTAGCATATGTGTCACCTCATAACCAATCACATAACACATAATCCGGGGTTTCATACCTTCATGACCAAATTTAGAACTGTTACTTACCTCAAACTGTGTAATTCTTTATTCCACTATGCCCTTGCCACGAGAATTTGACTCTGAAAGCCTCATATCTAGCAACAATTAATTCGATTCAGTCAATACCAATTATTGTAATTAATTACATAAGGAAATACTAATTTTTCAATAAAATCCGTAATTAACTCAAAAATTGCTCGTGGGGGCCATGCCTTGGAACCCGACAAAAGTTATAAAGTATGAACGCTCATCCAACCACGAGTCCAACCGTACAAAATTCACCAAATTCTGATATCAACTCGACTCTCAAATCTTTAATTAAAGTCTATAAATATTTCTACTATTTTTAATCCAATCTTTACCCATTTGAACTTAACAATCTTTCCACAACCTTATTGGTATGTATACATAATACTCTTACACCCAATAATCATACTATTATTCACCCATCTTTACTTCAAACCCGGAATTGAAGAATTAGGGAAAGAAATTCTTACCTCTTTGAAGCCCTATCAAGATCCTTGTGAAATCTTCAAACCTTGAACAAGAATTGATGGATAAATGACTAAGTCTTCGCTTTCTCTCTCTAAAATGCTCTCACCTCTCTCTAAAATGTCAGATTTTGGCTAAAAAATGAGCTTTAAGGGCTATAAATCGAAGTTGGGTCGGGTTAAAATTTAAAAAGAATGGAAGCTCCGACGCAGTTATGCGATCGCATAATAGGTATGCGCTCCGCATACCGGCCGCATAATTTGGCCTCCAAAGATGGGCGTTACTGACCCGGTCTGCGGTCATTATGCGGCCCGCATACTTGTGCTGCGGTAACATAATGCACCGCAAAACAAGTCTGCGGTCGCATAGTGCACCGCAGATTTTTTTCAAATCTTGCCCCTCTCCTGATCCACTTTGCGACCATTATGCGGTCCACAGAGTGATTCTGCGACCGCATAGTGGTTGCAGAAATGACCCTTTTTCCGACAAAATTTTTCTTTACACATCGGTGCATTGTTCAACCCAAAAATGCCGAGCCGCGGCGAGCCTTGCTCACCGCGAGAAAGTTTTATAATCTTTTTACTAATTGATCTACCTCGGCACCACCAAACCTTAATTTTCTTAGCAAAAATTCTCCGGGGTCGTTACACATAAGTCAACATCCAGTCAACCTTTTCAACTTAAATTCGAAACCTTGGAACTAAGTGCTCCAAATTATTTCAAAACCTTACCAGACCCAAACCAATTACCACGACAAGCCAAATAACAACTGTAATTCACAATTTGAGCAGTAAATAGGGGAACGAGATTGCAATAGTCAAAACAACCCGCCGGGTCGTTACAACAATCCTCAGTTTTGTGACCATACGTGCCATGATACTTGCATATCAAATTTGGGTTTCTTTGAGAAGGATCAATTTGTATGGGTCTGGGCCACCTAGTATCTTTGATCCTTCTGATTGCCGATACAATGCGTGATGCATCAATACTAAAATTATATTCCGATAACCGAGGTGCTTCTGTGGGATCGACGTACTTGTCAAAACCACTCTTGCTCATAAGTCCCAGAGAATTCTGTCCTCGATCACTTCTCCGATCGTTCTGGGCGGAATTGTGTCCTGAACCATTGTCCTTATTGTTCCTTCGATCTGCAGTATATGGTTGATATCAGTCTCTATTCTACCTTGGCTCCCTGTCGACGTCCCTCTGGTTTTTAACTGCCGACCTGTTTGGATGTGCTGAACTGGAAGGGGCTCCCAATTGATCGTCCTCGACCCTGATCTTCGATTGGTATAGATTGTGCACATCTGCCCAAGTTACAGCTGGATATTCGATTAAATTGTGTTTCAACTGATGTGATGCTATCGAACTCCACTCGTTTAATACTTGGGTGAAAGTTTGAACGGACTAATCATCTGTGACCAGTGGCAACTCCATGCGTTTCATTTGAAATCAGGACACGAACTTCCCAACATTTCATTATCCCTTTGTCTTATCTTGAAAAGGTCCGATTTCCTCGTTGCGACCTTTATGGCCATGGCGTGTGCCTTTACGAAAGAATTTTCTAACATGGCAAATGAGTCGATAGAATTTGGTGGCAGGTTGTGATACCAAATCATTGCTCCCTTCGAAAGGGTCTCTCTGAATTTTTTCAACAGCACATATTCAATTTCATCATCCTCTAAATCCTTATCCTTGATGGCGCATGTATATGAAGTAACATGCTCATTGGGATCGGTAGTACCATTATATTTGGGTATGTCTGGCATACGGAAATTCTTTGGAATAGGCTTCAGAGCCGCACTTGGAGGAAAGGGCTTTTGTAAAAACTTCTTTGAGTCCATCCCTTTCAAGATTGGCGGTGCCCCCGGTATCTGATCAACTCGAGAGTTGTATGTCTTCACTTTTTTTATCGTTGGCTTCGATTCTCTTCTCCCCGATTCAATTTTTTTGGTGAGATTCTCGAGCATTTTAATTATCGCAGGATCAGTCCCCGATTTGTTACCATTTGGCCTCTCCTGTACTAGCTCGGTACGGCGAGTAATTTCCGGCTCGACCCTATTCGGAGCTTTGTGTTGATTTTGTAACTGAGCAATATCAGCTTGCTGAGCCAGAAACATCTCAAATATTACTTGGAGACTGACTCCCTCTTCTCCTCTGCCCTGTGTTCCTTGGCCACTAGATCTGCCTTCTCTGCGTACACTCCCATCGAGATCTGCGCCTAGCTCCGCATTTAGAGCAACGTGCGAACTGACATCGACGGGGTTGGCAACCGGAGCTCCCCCGTGATTAGCCTGTGGCACTTCGATTTCTGGAGCAATCACATTTTCGTTTCCACCATAGAATCCGAGGCCATTGTCACCGTGGGTGGATGCGTTTTGTGAGTTTGACATGTTTTAACCTGAAAGCAAAGATACTTGACATGAACAAGCGTAAAATAGTGTGTTTCACCAGAATCACTACTGTAAAACCACTATTATCCTTAGCCCCACGGTAGGTACCAAACTGTTTACCCTAACATTCGAGTAAAAGTTAAACTTATTTAGTGGTTTCAAGGATACATGATTTAATCCAATACTAATTGATAAACAAGAAATTAAATAAATAGTAAAATAAATCAAACCAGTGTTCTGACAGTGCTTTCGACTTCAATTCGATATGGTCTCGAGGTTGGGTAACAAAAATAATAAAGAATAGAAAATAAACAGTGATGAGCAGTAATTGATAGTAAGTGAAATAGAGAAAGCAATATATGTGTATATGTTTATCAATGAATCGTTTCCCCCTACAAATGAATGGGGTCTCTCTTTATATAGCAGAGGAATCCTAAATAAGGTACAATTCTAATAACAGAAATAAATCCCATGATTGGTGTCAATAACCGTTTGATTCGATTTTCGCCGAGATTTTCGGTCGGTTGCTAATATCTCGCCATTCTGTTATTATACCTTACTCGAAGTCGGTCATGCTCGGTCTCGATCTTCAGCGAGCACTTCGATTTTCATGCTCCATACTCTGCCATTAAGCTCGAGCCTGGTCTATTACGAGCTTACTCTCGAGGCAACTCCTCGTGCCTATGAAATCGGACATGCCCGATTTCGACCGTATACAATCATATAAATTAGAAGAAAAGGGAAATATCATCAATAATCTAATTTTAATAATCTAAAAATAAAAAATAATTTATGTATACATTTGATTGTTAATAATTTTAAATACCAAAAAGAATGAAGATATTAGATATGAATTTTAATATCCATAAGAAATCCATCTCCAACCACCACAAAAAAGACGAAGAAGAAGAAAAGAGCAAATAAAAAAACAAAAGTATTATTTTCAATGATTTTTTTTGTGTGATGCCCTTTAATTATATTAAAATTTAAAAATATTTAAATTTATAATACAAAATAAATTATAAATATTCATGTGTCTATATATATCTCAATAGAAATATAATATATAAAATTTAAATACAAATTATTTTTAAATATAGATTGACATTATTCTTTTTGTAAGGAAATTCTATCACATAAATAGAAATAGAATGAGTTTGTACTTCGCAAAAATAAGAGTGCCCATATCGTAAACCATTTTAGCGATAACGGAAAGGTACCAGACAGACAGCTAACCTTTTGGCCAATTTGTTTTTCCTTTTTCTCTTCAACTCTCTCTTTCTCTTACAACCTTCCAGTCTTCCCATCTCAAATCTTGCCGCTATTCTGCTTTTCTTGTAAGTATTTTTCAACCCATTTTTCCCCTTTTCTGTTTTTGTATAAGTTCAATTGATAATCCCAAATCTTGGTGAATTGTAATTATATCTCAAATTTCTTGCTCCAAGACTTTAAATTTCTTGTGATTTTTTACCTCTTTAATTGTTTTCCCATAACAGATCCATCCATAATCAAAATTATCATATTCCTTTTGGTGTGATGCATCTATATAAAGCTGCTTTATTCTTTTTAATCAAATGGGTATTTATTGGATATGATTATGTACATATGTATTGGTGTTAGACAATCTATATTTTGTGAAAAAGTTTGGATTTTTATGTGTCTTGGATAATTCTGAAGTATTGACGAGTGGGTTTGTGCATGTTGGTATTTTTAGGGAATTTGATGAATTAGCTGAAATTTTAAAAGGAGCTGTTTGCTTTATTTCAAGGGTTTGTGAAGGAAGTGTAGAGAATGGCGTGTAAAGGGTTTTGGGAGTGCTTGTTGAAGCTCTTGAACTTCTTGTTGACCCTTGTTGGTTTGGCAATGGTGGGGTATGGTATTTACCTCTTTGTTGAGTACAAAAATCATTCGTCCTCTGGGGATGATTACCCGGTTGCACCTACAAGTAGTGCTGAAGTGATTGAGCTCGGTCGTCCAATGTTGATGGCTGTATCTGTGGCTGAAAACATCTTTGATAAACTTCCAAAAGCTTGGTATGAATACCCTTTTCCCCATAATGCTTATTTTGATTGTTTCGTGCCAAGCCTTGAAGCTGAATTCGAGATGATTGCGATGGTGTGATACTGGAAGCTGTATTTGCTAGTTAGTAATGTCGCATATGCTAGTTCTTCATTGTTTTTTAGAGGGATGTCACACTTAAAAAAGATAAGGGCAGAATTTTTTAAAGAGTTAAAAGGTATAGTCTGTTGCTTCTCTGATTAGGGAAATTGAGAAGATAGTATCTTCCGCATAGGAGATGATTGTTCATTTAGACAGAATAAACGTGAACTGGATTTGGGAAACATTGCTTGATTTTTTCCTAAGGATTTACTTGCGTCTAATGATCTCTCTATCTTTTTCACTTTGTTCCGTGAGAAGTACCAAAATAGATGATCTCAAGTTCTCAATACTAGGTTTATTTCTTCCACTCTTTGTACATCAAAGGGATTTGTTCTGCTCGTTGGACTAGAAGTACTCGGTACTTCCTTGTCTTTCTTCGTGGAAAGTACAACAAAAGTGCGATTCACAAACCTTGCACTTCAACTTACAGCAGGTACTCATGTGACTAACTCCTTTTTCCGTGGTCGTGCCAGCTCCAACCGTCATCTTGTTTAGTGCTTCCATGACCAACCCCCTCCCTTCCTCATTTTTAGCCATCATCTAGCCACCATTTCCATAGAGTAATGATCCCTTCTGCATTTTCCTTACCAGGGATCGTGTATTTCACCCATCTCTCTTTTGGTGTCAGTCCTAACTATGTTAATCATGGTCTGAATCTCACCAAACCCACCTGCACTATCTTAACCCCCCGATTTGATGATAGCCCTTTTCTACCTGATATAAAGTGTAAACAGATTTTCTCTGCTTCTATGCTTCTCGTGTTCATGTCGTCAACATCTCGTGCTCAACATCTCTAACATATAAGGTGATTGATTTGGGGTATTCCAGGACATGGATTAACTGCAAACTTCATGCATCTCCATTGTCAGTTTTGACTGTGTATGAAAGGCTTTATATCCATCCCTTGATAGACTTCAAACTCTACTCTTCATGTCAGGAATACCCGTCATCCGGAATGTATGACTTCAGTTTTAGTTTCATCCTCATTTTTCCTTCCTTTCAGTTTTCAGGGGTGCTGTTGGGTCGGNCCATGGAAGTGATTGAGACACTTTCCGAAGGAAGTGGGATGCCTCTATTGTACTGTATTTAAGGAGTTTGTATAAAACCAAACTACGTTCAAGAAAACATGAATTGAATTGTCAATCTATGTACTGTAATTTTCTTTTGGAGATTATGAAGCTTATTTTACTAAAAAATTATGATTTTTAGCGATGAGGAAAATCACCTCCAACTTCACAAGTCGTAATTTAGAACTTCTAGGAAGCAAGTGAAACAAATTTTAATTTTAATTTTATTCAATAGAGTTTTTGGTAGGGACTTCTTACTTAAAACAGGTCATGACCCTTTGAGGATTATGATGGCCAGAAATGTTTCTTTCATCTAGGGTATGGATTACTCCGCGGTGCTGTAATCCTTTTGTATTACATGTTTGCTGCATTGACAACAAATAGTGTCTGCCTGTGGAACTGATATGTAATTCTTTTTTATGGCATAATATATTGGGGCCCCACCTGAACTTAACACTTTTTATTCAGTGCACACCTGAACTATTTTGGTCTTAATTACCCCCTTGAACTTGGCGGTTTGATAACATTTGCCCCCTTGAATGTTGACATGACAAAGAGAATGGATATACTCTCTTTTAGGCGTGTGAGAGTGGTGAGAAATAAAAAAATCAGCTTCCAAGTGGGGTATTTTTCAACTGTTAGTTGCCACATAATCATATACTATGATTTGTTTGTTCTAACTATGTATATTTTTCTTACCTTTACTTAATATACCACACATATTTGACCTCAATTTGCAATTTTTTATTTCTTTTTTGGTGAAATGGCTACTTGTTTTTATCGTGTATTTCTTCTTTTTCTCCAAATATGTAAAAAAATATTTGACTAAAATCAATTATTTTTAGTCAGAGAAAGCGTTAATGGGTTTCAAGTATGCATTTCATTTTATTTCTTCTTTAGATGCAAGATATTTATTCTAACTGTTTAATTTTATTCTGCGCCAACTATACAAATTTTTTACCGAGAGCTCCATTATTTTTAACTAGACTAGATAAAGAAGTTTTAGCTAAAATATCGGAGCTCAAACTATTAAATTTTCTTTTATTTCTTATTAGATGCAATGACTTTATCCCAACTATGTACTTTTTAATTTCCCCACGAAATTTATAAAAGAAATTGCTAGAACTCGATATTTTTAGTCAAATACAATTTTTTAGCTTAAATAATGGATTTTAACTGTGTCTTTTTGTATTTCATCTTTAGATGCGATGACGATTTGTTTCAGCTAGTATTTCTTCTTTTTGAAAGGGCCGAATATGTAAAAAGAAAAAATTTGGATGAATATCCAAACATGTCTTTTACAAAATTTGGCTGGGAAAAAAGATTTAAATTTTTAAATTTATTTAAAAGGGAAAAATATATATTTTATTATGAAAATTCCACGTGGACAAAATATATCCACGTAGCAGCGAGTACATCACACCTCCTTGGGCTGAGGTCGGAGGGGGAGGGGGAGGGGGCGAAGTCTAGCAAGCTGACAAGTTGAAGGGGTAATTAAGACCAAAACTAGTTTAAATGTGCACGGGATAAAAAGTGCCAAGTTCATGAGGGTCCCGATATATTATGCTTTCTTTTATTTTAGCATTTTGCTAAAAAGTAACTTGCCTTGTATTTTTGCAGAAAGTATATGCAACGATTGAACTAATTTGGGTGTTCCGTAGGAGTAGAAGGGAAAGAAATTTTGAAATGTAATGAAAAAAATTAACTATATATGGTCTTCACCTCTTTGTTCGTGTCAATATTAAATGATAAACAGAGACAAGCCTTTTCGTCATAATATGTCGTTAGTTTTGAGTGGGTTTGAATTCTCAGAACCTATCTACATGATTTATAGAAAATAAATAATGAAAAGACCATTCTTCCTTCTATTGCTAATCGATGACTTTTTTCTTGGGATAAAGTTTTGCTAGGGATTACTAATATGTGCAGAGGTTGAATTATTGTGTCACCTGTTTGTTTGCGTCCATATTATGTTACAAATAGAGATAAGAGCCTTTTGTCATAATATATCTTTAGCTTTGAGTGGGTTTGAATTCTCAGAACTTGCCTACATGATTTATCAAAGTATGAAATGACAAGATCATTCTTCCTTCATTGCTAATGCTGACCTTTCTTTGAGATAAAGTTTTGCTAATGTTCAGTTGATTTGATTTTGTATATGTTCTGTGGAAAACTAATTGATCTATTTGTTATGTTGCAGGTTCATATACTTATTCATTGGTATTGGAGCAGTTCTTGTTGTTGTATCTTGCTGTGGTTGCATTGGAGCGGCAACAAGGAACGGATGCTGCCTGAGTTGTGTATCCTTATTATTTGTTTAGTCTTCATGATCACTTATATGTGAAAAGCCTAAATTCTTTTGATGAAATATATTCTTTCATCAAATATTTAGAAATGCTAGAAGTTATGTTGTTGGGCAGACTTATGATTTGGATCAATAGGAGCATTTTCAGTCAGATTTTTGAAATCTTCCTTTTATAGCTTTTTCTTTTGAACTTACTTGGATGAGTTCTGGATCATTTTAGGCTTAATCCTAACTTCGTCACATGTCAGAGGAGATGGATTAGACGACATGTCTATTAATTGCTTTTTCAGTTTATCGTTATCCTCTTGCCCGTGTTGCAGTACTCCCCCAACCCCTCATGTCCGACAGGAGTTGTTGATTTTTAGGATATCGGAGTTACTAGAGTGTTCTTCTGATTTCTCTTCTCAGGCTTCTATGAAGCATGTTTGGCACCTTAACTATGACAGTACTCTGTGCTGCTTTTCTTGTTGATCTTGGTAGAGCTTGGTGCTGCTGGTTTTATATTCTTTGACAAAAGCTGGAGAGAGGTAAGAGTTTTTCTAGTTCATGATTTCACTTTCACACTATACATTTGTTGTCATAAAAGTGATGAAAGTCTCTGTCAGGAAATTCCAAGTGACAAAACGGGCAACTTTGATACAATCTATGAATTTCTGGAGGACCACTGGAAGATTATCAAGTGGGTTGCCCTTGGGGCTGTTATTTTGGAGGTGAGGTTAAGGACAATATATATGGTTTGTTGTTTCCAAGAAAAAAGAGGGGAAAAAAGAACAGAACTCTCTGTTGGATCATACCTTGTTGGATTATGAGTGAAATACAGGAGTTTATGTGAAACTGCTATCAATGTTGTTTGCGCTCTGCACCATGTTCTTTCACATTCAATTCCGTTATGTTGTCTATCTATGATCCTTTGAATTTTTTACTAGCTATTGACCCTATTCAGATGCCTATCTCCACAGCTTGAGTGGTTATGTTGCTAAATATGCTCATGCATTCACTGAATTTGTCTGCAAAATGCATTAAATGTAATCTATTCATCCCTGTGGGTGCAATATATGTCCCCTACCAGTTATATCTGCTGTGGCCTTTTAGTGTGCATTAGAGATGTTGGCATGGCCCTAGTGAAAGTCATTGCTTACTGCTGTCTTGACCATATTCAGTATAGATTTGCGGATATAGCAGAGGATATTTGACCTGGATGTTTGTTTTGTCCTTTCCTCCCAGTATAACAACTAAGTGTCAATCCCGAACTAGTTGGGATTAGTTACGCCAATCTCAATAATGTCTCTATCTCCCAGTATTTCTCAATTTTGGCTGTTGACATGAGTTGCAGGCTCTTATATTCTTATTGGCCCTCGTTGTAAGGGCAGCGAATAGACCAGCAGACTATGATAGTGATGATGAGTACATAGGTGGTCCCAGACAACAAATCCGTCAGCCACTGATCAACAATAGGCCACCGAATCCTGCAACTGGTGTCCCTGTTGCTGGTACCCTTGATAATCGTCCGAGTAGAAATGATGCATGGAGTACACGCATGAGGGAAAAGGTCTGCTTTCTGTTAATTTGCTTTTCTTGCATGTTAATGTGGATGATGATGTTTTTAACCGTCTTGGTTGACTGCTCAACGCTTGTTATTACCAACTACACAATCTTTTATAGTTACTTTGCACTCATGAGGATTTTTATAATCGGTGCTTGTTTGTGGTGCACTATTATTTTGACCTTTCTGGAACTTTGCGGAGATGCATTTTCTTTTCTTTTGAAAAAATATCCGATCACAGCAAGACCTTTTGTTTTGCATCAGCCAGGGCTTAGTCAGATAATGAGATGATTTTTACTTTGAATTTCCTTCCTAGTTTCAAAAAAGCTTCCTTGTGACAGCATATGGGATTATTGTTTCAGTTGGCTTGTGGCAGTAGATTCATATGGTTTTTATCTTGTTTATGTACTAGCAAGTAGCAAGTGCACTTATAATATTTGGGTCTCTTGTGAAACCTCTTTCCTTTTGATAGTACTGCTATTTAGTTTCTGACTTGATTCTTGAATGGTTGTAATGCAGTATGGGCTCGATACATCGGAGTTCACTTACAACCCATCGGACTCAAACAGATATCCGCAAACTGCCGTACAGCCACAAGAGGAAAGGAAGGGTTGTGCCATAATGTAATGATGGGCTTATGGAGGACTCATGATTGTGTTTGTTTGTGTAATTTAGTCTGGTGTGAGGTATTTGTGTCTTTTGTAAGCATTTTCTCTTTGTGGAGTCTATGTACAAAACACAGTTTTCAGGATCTTCACTTGTCTTAACAGCACATTTTGAAGGCTAATATCTCTTCAGTTTATTAAACATGATTAATGACAGTGTTTGGTTCTTGTCAGAATCATGTAAAAGAAGATGAAATTGAACTTCAGGGAAGTAGTTTTCTATATCTGGGGTATTCTCATGTTCTTAATAGTACTAAAACAACGTATTCGAATGCCCTCGGTTGGTTGTACCAATGTATTCTAGTTTACGTTTGAATTTCCTCCACGATTCTACGGCTTTTTAGTTGATTAGGTAAAAGCTATTGGGTTCACGTAAACTCATATTTCTAACTATATATCTTTTGTCCCTGATAGAAAGACTAATCTTAAATTGATCCTTGCTCAAAGTAGTGGAGAGAGAAAGGTGTCCGTCAAGAATACAATTTAAGATTTTAAAATAGAACAATAAGAGGATTAAGAATTTTAACTTGATATATAGTTCTTACCTATCAAGCTCCTATTGTAGTTAATCACTTCTTTTCTCCATCGTGATTCATGACCCGCTAAAGTTATTCCAAAGAAGTAATCTTACCATCTTTAATTAAAGACCTCTTAACTCTTCTTTTTTTCTCTTTTTGATAAAGGATTCCAATTCTTGTCTATTTCTTCAAAACATTATACCAAAGATAGAAGGAAAGATATATAGGGACAAGTCTAGTAGAAATTATAAAAAGCAGAAAAAGCCACAGATATATATAGAATATATGTACTAACTAATGCAAGTGAAATTAGTCGTAAGAAACACTTGTTTGCTCCTTTAATTTTGTTGCTTTCTACTTCAAGAATCTCTACAACAGCATATAGACTTGTTCTTGTTTGATTGGAGTCTTTGGAGAGACATAACTTAAAGTGATGAACCGTTGCTTTTATCATTATTACAATAACTGTAGTAAATGACACTTTATTCTTTTCTTGTTATAAGGAGCCTAGCTAGGAATATTCATACCTCCAAACAACTATATTTAAAAGAAACCAACATTATTTTAGTACAGAAAACCTAGCTAAACCACTAGAAACAGAAAAAATACAACTCTATATATAGTAGAAATGAAAATTAGGAAAGTACTATATATCTTAATATGGCAGTTATAAGCACAGAACACATATTTTTCTCAAAAGCTTACATGCTTCCATCAGATAATGATATAGAAGAGTGTCTTGCATTGGTGAGAGAAAAAAGTTTCATATCACTAAACCAACGTTGTGACACAGTTCTTCACTTTCTGGCCATAAAAGGAAATGTTGCTGCTTTTAGAGCACTTATTAAAGAAGGTCTTCTTAGTATAGAAGCACTTAGAAAGAAGAATGTCAAAGGATGTACAGCATTGCACGAAGCCGCGAGGTATTATTAAAATGTGTGACCATCGCATCTATTTAATTTTTTTTTTTAAAAAGATGGTAAAATTTTATTTATTCAATTATTTGTTAACACGATCTTTTATGTATGAGCTGATTCTTTTTGGCCGTAAGACTTAAACTCACGATTCTCTATGTGCTCTGACATTATATATATTTTTTACAGCTTACGGTAAAGGGCCAAATATACCTCTCTACTTTCGAAAATGGTCTAAGAATATCCCTCGTTATACTATTGAGTTATTTATACCCCTGCAGTCATACTTTGGATTCAAATATACCCCTCATTTAAACGGAGGGACACGTGTCATCATCATGTTGGTCAATTCTAAATATCTCTTAATTAATTAAAAAGACTCATAATCCATACCTGAAAAATAATTTTTTTTTTTTGTAAAAACTGAAAAAAAACTCAAAAACATTTTTACTAAAAACTGAAAAAATGAAGATATTTTTTTTTCCAGTTTTTACAAAAAACTGCTTTAAAAAAACTGAAAAATATTTTCTAAAACAATAATTTTAAAAAACTAAAAACAAAACTGAAAAACAATTTTTTAAAACAATTAAAAACTGAAAAAATGAAGATATTTTTTTTTCCAGTTTTTACAAAAAACTGCTTTAAAAAAACTGAAAAATATTTTCTAAAACAATAATTTTAAAAAACTAAAAACAAAACTGAAAAACAATTTTTTAAAACAATTAAAAACTGAAAAAAACTGAAATATTTTAAACTAAAAACTGAAAAAAAAAGAAAATATTTATTTTTTTAGTTTTTACAAAAACACTGCTTTAGAAATTTGCTTTTTAGTTTTGTTTTCAGTTTTTACAAATATATTATTTTAGAAAATATTTTTCAGCTTTTTTTAAAGCAGTTTTTTTGTAAAAACTGAAAAACAAAATATTTTCGTTTTTTTCAGTTTTTAATAAAAAAGATTTCAGTTTTTACAAATATATTATTTTAGAAAATATTTTTCAGCTTTTTTTAAAGCAGTTTTTTTGTAAAAACTGAAAAACAAAATATTTTCGTTTTTTTCAGTTTTTAATAAAAAAGATTTCAGTTTTTACAAAAAAATTGCTTTAGAAAATTGATTTTCAGCTTTTTATTTTATTTTATTTTATAGTTTTTTCAAAAACATTGTTTTAGAAAATATTTTTCAGTTTTTTTAAAGCAATTTTTTTTTGTAAAAACTGAAAAAAAAAATATTTTCGTTTTTTTCAGTTTTTAGCAAAAATGCTTTTTAGTTTTTTCCAGTTTTTACAAAAAAAAAATTATTTTTCGGGTATGGATAATGAGTCTTTTTAATTAATTAGGAGATATTTAGAATTGACCAACAGGACGATGACACGTGTCCCTCCATTTAAATTAGGGGTATATTTGAACCCAAAGTATGACTGCAGGGTATAGATAACCCAATAGTATAACAAGGGTATTCTTAGACTATTTTCGAAAGTAGATGGGTATATTTGGCCCTTTCCCGTATTTTTTATAGAGAAAGTCCACTTGTAATTACTTTAATTTTAACTTTGAACAGATATGGACAGAAGGAGGTGGCAGAAATAATGGTAATGCAAGACAATGATTTAGTTCATTTAAAGGATGAAGCTGGGGAAACGCCATTATACTTTTGGAGGATTTTGGGAGGATTTTGGGAGTGATTGCTTTGCTAAGAGAAATGACGGTTGCACTGTTCTTCACGCTGCTATTGACGGTGAACATTACCGTAAGTTAGACAAGAAATATAAAATGTGTCAATCTTTTTTAAAACGGATTAAATACGAAAGAGTACTGTTATATAAATTTCATATTCTGTTTAATCAAATTAAGTAATTGTAATTATATTTAGGTTTGGCAATAAGCATATTATCCAGATATCCTGGCCTTGCGGAAGAACATGAGCAAAAGGGAATGAGTGCATTGAACTTATTAGTCATCATTCAAGAGTAGATCGGACTACACTAATTTTAGCCGATCCGAGCCTTTCAAGTTGTCAGAGCCATACGTACTCTTTCCATTTCAACTTGTCGAAGCTATATTCTATCGTGGTATGTTTTTCTCTATGCGTAATGTCTACTTTATAGTAACTATGAGAGGGTTCAAATTTGCTCCTATATTATTCGAAATTGCAAGCTCTAGCTTGAAATGATTGGTATACTCCACATGTTTGAATTCTGCGAGAAAAAAAAAACAAAATTAAATTTACCACTCGATTTTTGATTATTGTACCATTAGATTATTGGAGCGTCGTGAGGTTAAAAGGAAAAATCAGACATTCTCCAAATGGGACGGGAGAGAGGGTAATATTAGACGAAAAGTTAAACATAAGTGTTAAAGTTGCTCGATCGATATCGGATAGTACATGGAAAAATTTGACCATTTTATGTCAAACCTTGAATGCTCCTTCGGTTTCTTTATCCTCGATCGCTGCTGCCCCAAATGACTCGCTTGGAGCGTTCCCCTCGGCTCGGAGGGGTTTGAGAGGTTCTTCGATTGTAACCCCTGCCGGTTGACTCCGATGAGAGGCGTCTTCGACATCCGATAGTTCGGGGACCCTACCTGAATCTTTCTCTAGTGTATCTTCAGTTCGAGGCAGAGCCTCATAGAGCATCATCGATCCAGCCGGCGATGTGGCATCGGTGGCTCTCTTCGTTCGGACCGCCAGCGCGAACTCATTGTCTTCTTCTTCTTCTTCTTCTTCTTCTTCTTCTTCTTCTTCTTCTTCTTCTTCTTCTTCTTCTTCCCTTATATGCAAAACGGATTCCACGGTCAAAGGAATGACATTCTTGTTCGGCTTACGAGCCGTCCTCTTCTTCGGTTTTCGATATTCGGGAACCGAGGCTCTCTTCCTTTTATTTTCCTTCACCGGCTTTGGGACAGAGGTCGAAACGTCCTCCTCATTGGACAAATGCCTCAAGACTGCGTCTTTACCCAAACCTGCATATGGGAAACCTTATAAAAAATATTTTGAGAAATGCCTCGTTCGGATCATCAGAGTCCGAGAAATGAGCTTATCGTGATTTTTGGCCTCCCACCGACCCTTTGACAAATCACGCCATGAGCGCTCGGCGTATGTGGAGGTCGAAACAAGAGCCCGTACCCAGCTCTTGAGATCGGGAACCGCTTCGGATATCCAGGGAACCGCTACATCACAAAAGGAGGAGTGTCGATAAGAGAATAAATGGAAGAACAAAATAGAAGCAACAACAAGATCACCCTTACGTTTCATATTTTCACTCCTCGGGAAAGGGCATCTTTTCAGTCGGGATCAGGTCCGAAGTCCTTACTCGAACGAACCTGCCCATCCAACCCCGGTCCCTATCCTCGTCAATACTCGAGAA